GATGAACCACCAAGTACGAACTGGCTTAATTACTGGGGATCCTCATGACCCAGAAAAGGAATACCTACTAACCGTAACCAGTCAGTATCGTATAATGAGGTCAATGAGGTGGAATGGTGGTATTGTTCTTGGCTCATATATCCACTCCAAAATTGATACAGAATTCATGGACACCAGGAAAGTAGGAGGGTCAAAAGTGTTTTGCACCTACACGAAGAATTGAACAGTGTTCAAAACCCTCTGTCAATCCTTATGTATCAGTTAGTTGCAGTATGTTACTGCAATCGAATTTCCCACAATGGATCAAGACAATCCCCAGAAAATATTGGACAGCTAACCAAACCGCATTAATAATCATCAACCAACCATCATCAAGGGGTTGGTTAACCCGATCCGGTTTCACCAAAAAAAAACGTTCTTGCAGGCTACATCGGAGTGAGAGACGATCACATTTGGATCCATTCTCATTGATACCCTCTGGCAAATTGTTACAGTTTGTTATTGAAATGCCCGCAGAAATAGTTGATTTACCTATTAAAAATGATGATTTTCCATAGTTATGTTAGCTTACCAGAGGATAACTATTATATATGAGTATTATCATTACTGGTTTGTGGTTGGCCTACCTACCCCTCTGGAAAATATGAGTGAAAGTCAGTTGGGATCATGACATTCCCAACTGAAAGGAAAATCATAAAGTTCATGTTCCAAACCACCAGCCAGATTTGTTTCAATCCCCAGGGCCTGGAAGAATTATATAACAATTTTCACCACCTGACATTTCATCTCCGCCCATGTCGGGATTCACCACAATTTCATGGATTTGCTCAAGGAACCGGGGCGTGGATTTTCCATCGGGAAAAATTCCAACAGTCATCTAAAATAGTTACTTGGTTAACTTCCAATTGAAACATCCATTTTTAGTGGGTATTAGTGGGTTTTCCTTAATTTTCCCAGATTTCAAAGTGGATTTTCCCATGACTTCCCGGCTGACTTCCCCGGGGCAGCGCCCGGGGGACCCACCTTCGATGTCCCGCAGCGTTCCGGTCGATTTGAGGCGCTCGCGGATCTGCGTGGACGACAAGTTCCCCTGGATCAGGTGGAAGTCCTGCACCAAAAGCACGGCCGATGACCAGCACTAAAGTCGCTTTAAAGTTCTAAATTAATTATATTGTTGATCATGATAGGGATAATCATAAAATCCTAGGGTTTAATAGAGATGATCATTAAAATACACTAAATGTTATCCAATGTCACTATTGTTCATCATTGAGGCGCCTATGAAATTTAAGTAAAGTGACTTAATTTAATGATGTAAGTCACTATCATGATTAAAGTCACTGAATGTTATCCAATGATCATCCCTATGATATTATGATGTTCCCAGAAAGGCGATGATAGATTATTATTGTTATCCATGACTAATCATCATTAAATCCTATGATCTTCCCATGATCACACCCAAAAAAATCACCATGTGTCGTGGATTACCTTCTGGTAAACATACAAAAAACTATGGAAAATTACCATTGTTAATTACATCTAATTACTAGGTAAATCAACATTTTCCATGGCCATTTTCAATGGCGATGTAAGTTTGCATCCACCACTTGGAAAAGTTATATATGGGGGTTTCCTAAAATGGAGGTACCCCAATAGCTGGATGGTTTATAATGGACATTTCTATTAAAATTGATGATTTAGGTGGACCCCTATCTTAGGAAACCTCCATATGCACTTTGTGGCGAACTACCCACGAATCCTAAGTTAGTTCACCCTAGTTAAAAGTGGACTAACCCTACTTGGTAAGTGGGATGGGCCACCAAGTAAACATATTATCATGGGGATAATACATAGGTTATAATAAATGGATAACACATGTATTTGGATAACAATGGGATATCCATGGAGATCCATTATTACCATGGGATATTTCAACATTTATGGATAACAAAATCATATATGCCTAATGCAACACGCTGTTGGACAAGGTGGTGCCCATTATTTGGGATAGTACTGTAGTGGGTTGCTATAGGTGTACGCTTTGGATATCATTATCATTGTAGTAACAAAGGGTGTTCCCATAGAATAGTGGGACACAATAGTGGGTTATAATATAGCTATAGTTTTTTGGAAAACGATGTCATAGTGAGTTGATAAAAAAAATACCTAAGCCAACAATGGGATGATACAAGTTGTTTTTAAAAACCCCATGAAAACTATCGCTGTGGTTGCCCTAAACCAAATGGGAATTTTGAGTTATTTATATTAGCTAGCATTTAATTTGAGGCCCTGTACCATATAAATTACCTAATTTTGGGGTGCATATCCCCTGATTTTTAGCCCTACAAACAAGCTTCAGAAAAGGTAGGTACCTCCAATTTGGGTATACACAAGAAATTGCCGTTGATAGACGGGTCCAGGAAACCGTCACCTTTTTTTGTAAGATCCTCATCTGGTGCTCCACACACCTGACCATGTCGTGTACAAGTTTGTGTTAGGTGTAGACCCATCCCGCGGTACAGCTAGCCTATATAGTTACAAGCTAATTTGACTAACTAGCTGCACAGGGGGCATATTTGTTGCAGCGTCAGATCAGATTCAATTCTGACTTGGCAAAGGTAGTCTCATTCCCTCTGACCTTGGTTAAATAAAAAATTGCTCTGCCAGTATTTACCACTAGTTTTGCTGGTTCAACCTCGCCTTGGACGAATGCCATTCACTCCATACCCACTGGTTAAATAACAACCCTGGGGATCGGCCAAGTGAGCTATCCCACTGAACAAAAATGGGTTAGAACTATGGTTACCTGGTGGCTCATTCCACTTAGTTCACCCTAGTTATAAGTGGATGGATCCCCTACTTATCCCACTGAAAAATAAACAGGGGTATGTGTATATATATATATATATAGTTATATTGAAATATGAAGGTTTCCTAAAATGGCGGTACCCTACAATAGATGGTACATAATGGAAAATTGCTCTAAATTTGATGATTTTGGGGGACCTCCATTTTAGGAAATCCATATATATATATATATAACCTACTTAGTAAGTAGATGAGCAACCAAGTACCTCATCCAAGTTACTACTCACTTCGGATTCTTTCGATGAACCTCCAAGTAAGTTGTTTTTGTCTAGTCATCTCCTCACTTTTGTGATTCATGGTAGTTAAAATTCATTTTTTGTACTTCAACCCCCATGTTTGAGATATATATATATATATATGTGTGTGTGTGTGGCAGGGACCTTTTGGTATAATGCGACCGTCCTCCTTTCTGATCCTGTCCAGTGGTTGTAGCCCTTTTCCCGTGGCACTTCTGTCTACACACTTGAGTGAGAGCTTTACAGCCTTTGCTGCTTTTTTGCAGTCATGTGGTAGATCCATTTTTGTTTTCATCCAATAGCCATGCCCTAGGGGGTTCTTGAAGGATTCCAAGCAGGGGTTTGCCCAACAATACATGTCAATAGAGAATTCTGATTGTTGGGTTTACCTCATCTTGTTGGCGAAACTAGTCAAAGTATTCGTACTCTTTCCACTGACGCACCGCCGATGCAGCAGCTGGTGCTGCTTTGAACCGAGCCCAGATCGTGCCATCATCGTCCTTGTGCAAAGCCGCAAGATCTCCTCAAATAGCAACTTTGGCCAACCCGCTGAACAAGAGTGTATTTGATTGTCACCCACAAGTTCGTTTTATGAAAAGACATGCAAATCCAGTGTATATATACATATTATATAGTTGATAGAATTGATGTTCTTGGGTAACATTATGATAGATGATACCTGCGTGATTCAGAAAACCTGAACTTCTAATTTATCTTCTACTGGTTGCTTGGAATGATTTTCAGCTGTTCTTAGAGAAAACGACATGCTACCTCGGGTATTTACGTGCATGGAATATCACTTGCTGTATGTGCTGTCACGGCTTGTGGATTAAAGCACTTGCTACCTTGGAGTTGTACGATTGAACGAATAGAATGCCGATTGCTGAGGGCATTGTGCCGTAAGCTACTTTTCACTCCTCCAAAGTAACGGGCTCAAATCTGTGAATTGTGTCCTTAATTGATACGAAAAAACTAACCCAACCCCACACATTCGGGATTCAATCTCTCTAAACTATGTCTGCAATTTCACCAAGTTGACACCCAGAACAAACTGAATGAATGTGTGTCTCAAAATCGCAACTTGAAACCGGTGAAAATTACTGTCGGGATCTAAAGCTCCAATTCATCCTCCAATGTATTTCTTACTTATCACGAAACAAATCCCAGATATTTAGCTAAGGTGTATGTATCTAAATTACCTCCTGCACTATCAAGCCATGACCTTCACATTTGCCCCAATCAAATATCATCGAAATGTTTCGGGAGTGCGGCTTCCATCCCAGTGTCCCATTGCAGAATGAGTGACCAAAGAAAAACAGTTTGTGCTGAATGTCTTCCACGGGCCCCTGATACCCTTTCACGACGACCCGGCACTGTTCATCCCTCTGACGCCTCGCCAAAAACGGCCAAGTAGATTAGGACGATATTTCACCTAAACTGGAAATCACCTATTGAGCATCACCTGGCTATCTTGCTAAAGGAAAATGAACTTGAAGTAGCAATGCTCTGCCATAATGTTGCGACACTCATCTTGTCGCAAACTAACACCATCGCTGAAGTAAGAAGCCTTTCGCATCTAATCCATAGGCCTTGACCCCATCAAAATTGCAATACGACTCGATCATGTGGAGACATGCCTTTCGCGAATATGCGTGCTCAAATGCATGCTGCAATTGCACACCACTAGCTTACTAGCAATGGCTGGGCCGGAAACGAGAAAGTCCTTCAAAGTAGGATTTTTGGGAAGTATCCATCCTCCGCTGCATCTGGGTAATGCTCTTCCAAGAATTGGGGGCATACAAAGTGGGCATGGGGAACCCAGAGAAAGCTGCGCCGCAGGATCGAAGGGAAGTTGTGCTCGGAAATGCCTTTGAACAACATCAAACGGCTCACCTCCATCCGCAATCAATCATGCGTGTTACGTACCCGTATGGCCGCCTGCCAGCCATTCCATCAGCACTCATTGTTTTCTTGTAATGGTCTTCACGCATGCGTCGAGAAGTTTCTCTTGCCTCCTGTGCTGTCAAAATAAACCAGCCTGCAAATTGCTCTATCTGTCTCAGAAGTTCTTGCTCGTCATACCAGATGTTCGGATCGAAAGCATGGTTTTGACCACAAACGGCATTCAGGTGGGAACTATATAGAGACTGCCCAACACCACCCAGGCTCTCACCTATAAAACGTCGGTCAATATTTTCGCCTCTTTTGGCAAGTGCCTGGGCTGCTTGGCAGCACAAAAACACCTCAAAGTTTCGCCAGAAGGTCTGTTGGAAAAACTTCTCCAACCGAGCGCTTGCCTTAGAAGTTCATGCGGACACCAACGGCAAAATGCGCAGCAAAAGTTTTTAACGACACAAACAAAAAGAATCAATCCAGACAAGCTGCGGCCTGAAGAACTGGATCAGGCAAGGCAAGTTTTAAGGCATGGCTGGGCTGAACGAACATGATGCTGCCTTCCTGTGAGTCATAGACGAAACAAAGATCCTTGTACGCGCAGCCTGCTCGTTTGTTGCGAGGTGTTTCGCACCACTCAATCATAAGACCATAAATCTTATCATCCATGACTTCCGTTTGCAAAGTAACATTCATTTTTCCCGAGAGCGTCTGAGCGCAGGGTTCTTCCAATAGTGGGGGTCTGTCTCTCATCTTCTCATCTTCACATCTTCTCACTTCACATCTTCTCATCTTCACATCTTCTCATCTTCACATCTTCTCATCTTCACATCTTCTCATCTTCACATCTGCTCATCTTCACATCTGGTCATCTTCACATCTGCTCATCTTCACATCTTCACATCTGTTCATCTTCACATCTTCTCATCCTCACATCTTCACATCTTCACATCCTCACATCTTCACATCTTCTCCTCTTGCCCTCTTGGCCTCTTGCCCTCTTCTTCACATCTTCTCATCCTCACATCTTCACATCTTCATCACATCTTCACATCCTCACATCTTCACATCTTCTCCTCTTGCCCTCTTGCCCTCTTGCCCTCTTTCCCCTCTTACCCCTCTTGCCCTCTCCTTCTTTTCTATTTCTCTTCTGAAGGCGGGGGCAGGGGCAGTGCCAACGAGACGGCACGAAACACAACCCTTTCGCACGAAATGAGGTTCGATCGCCAAAAACTGCGCTAAAATTGCGATTTCAAGGTGTCCCGCGCAACCCTTACGCACGAAACAAGGTTCGATCGCCAAAAACTGAGGTAAAATTGCGATTTCAACTTGTCCGGCGCAACCCTTTCGCACGAAACGAGGTTCGATCGTCAAAAACGGAGATAAAAGTGCGAGTCCAAGTCGTCCGGCGCAACCCTTTCGCGCGAAACGAGGTTCGATCGTCAAAAACTGCACTAAAATTGCGATTTCAAGGCCTAGGTGTCCGCCGCAACCCTTTCGCACGAAACGAGGTTCGATCGTCAAAAACTGAAGTAAAATTGCGATTTCAAGGTGCCCGGGGCAACCCTTTCACACGAAATGAGGTTCGATCGTCAAAAACTGCGCTAAAATTGCGATTTCCGGGTTCCCGTTGCAACCCTTTCGCACGAAATGAGGGTCGATCGCCAAAAACGGAGGTAAAATTGCGATTCTTCTGTATGTACAAAGCTGCCTGCTGTGTGTCAAAGCTTCTGTGTGTAAAAGCATCTGTGTAAAAGCGTCTGTGTAAAAGCGTCTGCTTAAAAGCTTCTGTGTGCTCTGTGTGTAAAAGCGTCTGTGTGTAAAAGTTTCTGAGTGTAAAGGTATCTGTATGTAAAATCGTCTGCGTGTAAACGCTTCTGTGTATAAAAGCTCGTGTGTGTAAAAGGGCCTGCGTGTAAAAGTGTCTGTGTGTAAAAGCTTCTGTGTGTAAAAGCGTTTGTGTAAAAGCTTTTGTGTGTAAAAGCTTCTGTGTGTAAAATCTTCTGTGTGTAAAAGCCTCTGTGTGTAAAAGCGGCTGTGTGTAAAGCCGTCTGTGTGTAAAAGTTTCTGTTCTGTAAAAGTGTCTTTGTGTCAAAGCGTTTGTGTGTAAAAGTGTCTGCGTGTAAAAGCGCGTGTGTGTGTGTGTGTGTGTAAAAGTGTCTGTGTGTAAAAGCTTCTGTGTGTAAAAGCGCTTGTGTAAAAAGCGTCTGTGTAAAAGCTTCTGTGTGTACAATCTTCTGTGTGTAAAAGCCTCTGCGTGCTTCTGTGTGTAAAATCTTCTGTGTGTAAAAGCCTCTGTGTGTAAAAGCGTCTGTGTGTAAAGCCGTCTGTGTGTAAAAGTTTCTGTTGTGTATAAGTGTCTTTGTGTCAAAGCGTTTGTGTGTAAAAGTGTCTGCGTGTAAAAGCGTCTGCGTGTAAAAGCGTCTGCGTGTACAAGCGTCTCCGTGTAAAAGTGTCTGCGTGTAAAAGCGTGTGCGTGTAAAAGCGAGTGCGTGTGTGTGTGTGTGTGCGTAAATAAGTCTGTGTGTGGAAATGCTCTCAGAATGACCGAACTGTGTGGTCCAAAAGCGTCTGTGTGTAAAAGTCTCTGTGTGTAAAACAGTCTGTGTGTGAAAGTGCCTGTATGTAAAAGCTTCTGTGTGTGAAAGCTTTTGTGTGTAAAGCTTCTGTGTGTAAAAGCTTTTGTGTGTAAAAGCTTCTGTGTGTAAAAGTGTTTGCGATGCAAACTATTGTCTTGTACTTGTGCTATATTGTCTTGATACTCCTCTTCTCGACTGCCTATAACACATCTTTACAATATTGTTTTGTAATATGGACTAACAAGAGAAGACCCTGCTCCTCTACGCTCTCGGGCCATCCGTCGTCTAGTTCATAGAGCAGTCGCAATGCTTTGGGCCCATCCGCCCGCATTAGCGATTCCGATGCCACCAGCTTGCTCCTCGCCATCTTCGTCAAACTGCTGGAGTCTGCGGGCACGTTGCGCCTGTTTCATGAAAATTGCAGCATCTATCCAGCTGTCAAGCATTGCTTTGATGTTTCCACCTCTCTCTGCCTCCATGCTGTCCACAGCCTCGACTATGCTAGGAGTTGTTCGCTCCACACCGCCTCCCAGACACCGAAACAAGCCTTCCAGCTGAAGTATGAACTCCTTCACTCGGGCCACTGTTTGCTCTGGAGGACTGCCGCGAGAGACTTGAAACGCACCGCAATCATGATACAAGAAGCATTGCCCGTTATGAACCCGAAGGCATCGGCCATCGCAGAGTCTCATGTGAGGCAATATGCAAGCACATGCCACCACACGGACCAGCTGCTCAGGCCACTCTGGCTTCATACTCCGGATCTGTGCGATCATGCGATTGCTTTGATGAAGAAGGGAATGGCACTGATCAGGCTCCTTGACCAGTGCAGCTTCCAACGATTTCCTGGCCGTGGTTCGCATGTTGAAAAACTCTCCCTGAAAAATGGCGTGGACTGCATGGCTCCAGGTTGCAGGCGGCGCTTCTTGCATCGCCGC